CTGGCCAGTCTATCTTAATTGATTAAAAAAATGCCAGTTGTGACCCACTAAAATTGATGTTATGACCCATTAATGGATTGCACACTACAGTGCTCTGTCTTCTAAGTCTCCTGGGTTGGGAGAAGTAAAGAGATAAATTATAATTATGTTGAATGCCTTGAGGCAGGGTAGAGTTTTCTTCATCAAACTGAAGGAAGTGATTCTTTAGGAGCCAAAAGTTCTGGGTTCTGCCTAGTCGCACCACAGCTTCCCATATACTGAGATAAGCTCTTACCCTGTCTTTGCATTTTCATTTTACCACAATTACAGGGGTTAAAAAAAATGCTTTCCGTAAGGATTAGTGGGCATTTTCTGAGTGAGATAAGAGATGTGAATTGGAGAGTGGAAACAAGAGATGGGCACAGACAGTCTTGGGAAAGGAGTTTCAGCAGTGAAAAAAAAAAGACAAGGAGGTTTTATAAATGGCGCGACGGGATCGTGAAAACTGAAGAAGTAGATCCTGTTTGTCAAAACTTGGCTACATATTGCCCTGTCATAGGACAGAGTCTTTAACTCTGTGCATCTACATTGTCCTGATAAGAACCCCAACAGGGCCCATAGGCGAGAATGAACCTACCTCCCCGTTGGCCATTGGCTCCTAGGGGTATCCAGTCTGTAGCAAAGGAAGGAGAAAAGGTATGTGAGTGACCACAGCTCTGTACCCAAGAACCCTTTCATGAGATGAACCAGAGAATGATGGAGAAATGGTTGTACTTTATCCAAAGATAAAGTTTTATTCCTATATAGCTCAATACAAAATTACTCAGACCATTATGCTATGCACAAAACTGGTAGGAATAGAAACACTCAAGAAAGAGAAAGAAGTCCCTGAGAACAAAGCCTGGCTCTGCTAAGCCTAGGCCAAGATGCTGTCTTGCGTTCATTCCCAGCCCAGAGTGGGGTCCTGTCCCACAGAGGGGCCCAGCAGCCCTTCTGGCGTGTCCTGCCTGCCCTTCTATCCCCACAGCCTTCCCCCTGGCTGAACAAAGCAGAATTATTTTCTGAGTCCGTATCTGGCAGAAGGAGGAAAAAAATAGAGTAGGATTTCTTTAAAGTCTTAGGTTCACTTTCTGTGGCCAATCTTCTAGCTAGATTCTCAGAAATCTGTGAAGATCGTTTTTCTTTTGTGTGTAGGCATGGAGTATATATTTTGTGTGCACGTGAATGTAAGTGTGTGTATGCCGGTGCTAGTATTTGTTTGGTGTTGGTGTATATATCCCCGCTGTTTTCGTTCAAGATTTAAATTTGGTCCAGTTTCTTATCAGGTAAGTCCCAGTATATTACCTTCTTTTCCCTTCGGTGTTTGTTTCCTTGTATATTTATGTGTGTGACCCTCTTACGGTGGTTAATATGCATTTGTGTGTATCTTAGTTTCACAATTGTCAGGATGCCTTTTCCCAAGTCTGAGGTCTAGTGACATTCCTGACCGTTTTTCTTTGATACAAAATCTGTTCTTTTCTCCTCTTTAATAGCAACTCTAGAGCTCAATACCAAGCATCTCTCCTCCCATTCCCCTTCAGCCTCGTTCCATCCCACCTTCTAGCATTCCCGCACACATGTATAGCTGAGGGGCTGACACTCTAGGGAGAAAAGGATAAAGGTAGGAACTCACCAGCGGGCATGAGCAGTGCAGTGAGGAACAGCAGCACCTGGGGTCCCAAGAGCAGCATGTCTGACGGGGCGGTGGGGAGAGCAGAGAAGGTGATGCTCAGGGACACATCAGCACCGCAGGCTGGAAAGACGCCTCTGGGTCCCCTGTCTCTGTCTCCCCAGGAGTCTTGGTTTCCTCTTATGACTCAAACCCTTTCTCTCTTTTCTTACCTTTCACCCAAACAATCCTTTCTCCCTCAATTCTATTCTTTGGTCACTTACCCTTATTCTAGCTCTTATTATTCTTTCCTACCAAGTCAGAGGAAATTTTGTATTCCAAATGGTCCATATTTGGCCCTCCCCTGTGGCCTCTTTCACTGCTCCTGTCTAATCTTCCCTTTTTGTATCATCTGCTCATCTTGGTGTCTCTTCTCGTTTGAATTCCACGGATAGTTGGGAATCTGAGCAAGTCTAAGTTGGGTGACATTCACCGTTGCCCCCTCCAGCCCTTCAACACACCACACACACACACACACACACACACACACACACACACACACACATACATACACTCACACCTTCCCTCCATTTAGGGTTTTATATAATCAAGTTAACTCACTGTCTACGGTGCTCTGTTCTTTCCACCGAGTCCTTTGGCTGCTGACTGTGTCTCTCTCCCCTTACGCTGTTCTGACTTTGGCTGGAGAATAGGATGAACAGAGCCACTCCCTGGAAAGGACTTCAGACTTGGCCTACTCTGACACAATGAGATGAGGGAGAGCGAGGAGAAGGAGAGAGAGAGAAGCCAGTCGAATGCTTGTTACAATGAGGCTGGAATGAAAAGGGAGATGGGAATTTGCAGCCACTCACACCCTCATTCCAAAGGTTATGACCACACTGGTGAGAGATCTTGCTGCTCTCTAGAATGGTTGGCTGAAGCTGACGCATGCCTTTCTTCCATCAGCCTATTTTCCCTGCTCTCACAGTCCGGCCCCAGCCCTCCTTTTTCCCTGGGTTTCCTTCTGGCCTAAATAGTTCCCTCTCATCCTTGGAGGGTTTGACTGCACATTATCAAATCTGTTTCCTTCTCTGGAGATTTTCCTTATTTGAATCATTCCTTCATTACCCTTTTTCACTTTTTTCTTTTCTTTTCTTTTCTTTCTTCTCTTTCTTTCTTTCTTTCTTTGAAGGCACAGTGTTGCTCTGTTGCCCCAGCTAGAGTGCAGTGGCATCAGCATAGCTCCCTGCAACCTCGAACTCCTGGGTTCAAGTGATCCTCCTGCCTCAGCCTCCCAAGTAGCTGGAAATACAGGTGTGCCCCACCACTCCCAAATAATTTTTCTATTTTTTTTAGAGGCATGGTCTCACCACGTTGCCCAGGCTGGTCTCTAACTCCTGAGCTCAAGCGATGCTCTCACCTCGGCCTCCCAGGGTGCTAGGATTACAGGTGTGAGCTATCACACCTGGCCTCTTTCTTTTTCAATATTCATCTTCTCAACACTAGCAAATTCCTTTGTATCCCTGTATTTCTTTTTCTCCTCTGCCTCTTTCTTGACCTACACATTCAGATTCTGCTTGGTTTTTTCCCCCTGAGAATATCCTGTTTATTCTCACAAGCAAGCAGACATAGACACTATATGAGTTTTATCCAAGAGGAAGGCTGGTTGTCTTAGGGTTATAAAAAGTTGAGGAATTCATAACTTTCTGAATTCTTTTCAAATGTGGAGGAGATTCATGTAGGAAGGGGCCAGCCTTATTTTGTCTTTTGTCTTTGTTTAAGCTTATGATAAGAATCTTGGTTTCTGGCCTCACAGTGGCTCATACCTATAATCCTAGCACTCTGGGAGGCCAAGGCGAGAGGATTGCTTGAGCTCAGGAGTTCAAGACCAGCCTGAGCAAGAGTGAGACCCCATCCCTACCAAAATAGAAAAATTAGCCAGGTGTTGTCTGCACACCTGTAGTCCCAGCTATTCAGGAGGCTGAGGTAGGAGGATTTAGGGATTGATTGAGCCCAATCCTCAAGCAAAAAAAAAAAAAAAAAAAAAAAGGCCGGGCATGGTGGCTCACACCTGTAATCCTAGCATTCTGGGAGGTCAAGGTGGGAGGATCGCTTGAGCTCAGCAGTCTGAGACCAGCCTGAGGAAGAGCGAGACCCCGTCTCTACTAAAAATAGAAGGAAATTAGCTGAACAACTAAAAATATGTAGAAAAATTAGCCAGGCATGGTGGC